GTCCGGGCTGGGACCCCGGCGCCATCGCAGCTGGGAAGCCTCGAGGTTTCGCACCAGGGGTGGGGAGGAGGCTAGGCTCACAGCCGCATCCAGCACCTGCGGGGGAGACGGTGCTCAGCAAGGGGATGGCAGCACCCCCCGGGCCACGTCCTCCTTTCACCCTGTCTCCTGGGTGCTCGTCTCACCCGGATCTCGCCAAGGCGGCAGGAGAAGGGGGTCTCGCGTGGGCCGGCCGGGCGGCGCGCCAGCACCAGGGAGAGCTCGTGCAAGGCGCAGTCCTGCAGCTCCAGCTCGTAGCACCTGAGAGCGAGGGCACGGCGGGTCGGCGCGAGTGCAGTCCAGCCCCGTGCCCCTGCCATGCCACAGCCCTCCCACCGCCCACCACCTGGAGACCCCAGGACTTGCCCAGGGTTGTGGGTGGATGCAAGGGACGGCGCCGCACCCTGGCTCCCCCGCGACACCGGGACTCACCGGTTCATCCAGCCCTGGGTGCTGCGCTCTCCGCAGGCGCCGAGCAGCGTGGACAGGCCAGGCGGGGGGGCTGGGAGGGGCCGAGGCTGGTGCCGCCTGGTCAGCCCTGCAGGAGGGGAGGGAGCCGTCAGGGCACGGGGGCAGCCTGGCACAGATGCCTGCGTGCTGTCCGGCAAAATGGGGGCACGGGGCAGTCCTCACCAATGTCGCCAACGCGGCAGGAGTCGGAGTCCCGGGTGGCGAGTTCCAGCGTGACCGTGACCCCGGCCTGCGGCTCCTCCAGCTTGTACAGCAGGGACAGGAAGAGCCGGGGGGGGGCCAGCATCTGGAAGGAGAAGAGCCTGGTGACCCCCCGGCCCAGCCGGGCACAGGGGAGAGAGCGAGTTACATGGGGCTACAGGCACAGCGGCACCCGCACGCGGCGGGATGTGCCCGCGGCCCGGCCAGCTGCCCGCCAGGCCCGAGGCACATCGCACACAGGCACCGCCTCGCCCCGGCCCCGGCCCACGCTCACCGGACGGCCACGTGCTCGGCATCGGGCGGGATGGCCCCCGCCACCAGCAGGGAGCTGCCCCCCTCCCAGGCGTCGTGCAGGCAGCAGTGCGTGCGCAGCCCGCCGCCCGGCCCCTGCTGCTCCGTGAACAGCGGCTGGATGTCCTGGGCGCTCAGGTTGTACCAGGGGCTGACCACCTGCTGCAGGCGAGAAGGCCGGGCACGGGGCTGAGCCTGGGCTGGGCGGGAGCCCGCCGAAGCCCAGGCAGTGACCGCCCCAGTCCCGCACGCACCTGGCCGGAGGAGAATCTCCCGGTGCCCATGCCCAGGTTGAAGGAGGTGTGCAAGGGCAGCGTGCCGAGGCTGTGCGTGGGCAGCTGCTCTGCCAGCAGCCCCCAGAACCTGCGGGGAGAGGCGCTGAGAGGAGCCGGCAGCCACCGCCCAGCCCCACGCCCTACCAGCCGGCCGCTTACCTGTCCTCATTGGGCAGGAAATCCGCTGCCCCCAGGTGCTCGTAGACCCAGCCGGGTGCGAAGAGGGCGGCAGAGAGGCCGTGCTTGCGGATCAGGCGCAGGGACTGCGGCATGAGGGCGAGTGACCTGCTCAGCTGCTGCAGTCCGGCAAACCCTGCTCCCACCCTGCCCTGACCGCGGCCTGTGGGGCCGGGGATGTGCGACCCCCTGCACGGGTAGGGCTCCCTGCCGCCCGAGCCCAGCCACGCACCTTGTCTGTATCGAAGCCGCCACTCACCACGTCCCCGCGGGCAAAGACGTCGATGCCCACGTAGACGTCGGCCCAGCGCTCGCCGGCTTGCGCCCGCGTCCGCTCCAGGTGCCCCTCCTTCCAGTTGTAGTTGGTGAACAGCCCGTCGCAGGCGTCGAAGAAGACCCTGCGGGGCGGGGCGGGGCGGGGCGGGGAGGGAGCCAAGCCGTGACCCAGGGGCATGGGGTGCAGTGGGCACGGGCCCCACGGCACAGCTCTGCACCCGGCAGGACAGCTGGGAAGGAAGGGGCTGCGCCCGGGCACAGGCTGCGCCCCAGGGGCTGCGGCGGGCTGGCGGCGAGGGAGCGCCCCGCTGCCCCCGTGCGCTGCCCTCACCTGTTCTCCTCGTTCAGCTCGTTCTGCCACCTCAGCTCGCCGCTGCGCAGGACGCTGTCATACCAGAGCACCAGCCCGCCCGGCACCAGCCGCCCCAGCTGCTCCTTCAGCTGCCGCAGGAAGAGGGGCAGCGCCCGCACGGCCGCCTCCTGCCGGGAGAGCAGAGGGCAGGCGTCACGCCCGGGCCGCGGACGGCCCCAGCAAGCGCCGGACGTGGCTGCCAGCGCTGCCGGAGAGGGGTCCGGCTGCGAGGGTGCCGCTCACGCTCAGCTCGTTCTCGATGTTGATCAGCCAGCCGTCGAAGCGGTAGAAGCTGGCGATGCGGGCCAGCTGCGTGGCCACGGCGCCGTGCGCCTCCGCCTGCCCAGCCAGGAACGACTCACACGTCTTCTTGCCTTCTGTCCACTCGGTGATGAAGGTGCCTGCAGCCGGGCAGAGGGAGACTCAGCTGCGGCCAGGCCTGGCCTCCTCCACTGCCTCCCGGGCAATAGGCCCGAGCCCCTCACCCAGCACGGAGACGCCATTCCTGTGGGCAGCGTTGGTCCAGCCCACGGGCGGGATGGTCACGATGTGGTGGCTGAAGTAGACGAAGATGTCGATGTACTGCCAGTGGTAAAACACGTAGGGGCTGCGTGCGGCCGAGCCCTGGATGAACCTGCCGGGAAAGGTGGAGTCAGGGGCGAGGTGCTTGGAGGACCGATCTGCGCCCTCCCTGCACGGGCACGGCACACATCCCTGCCCTTAGCTCCCCGACCCGCTGTGCCCACCTGTCCTCCAGGTACCCGCCCTTCATGTCATGGCACACCAGCGTGCGGGGTCTCTTGCTGCGCAGCGGAGGCTGGCGCGCGGCCAGCGGCGTCGCGGCCACGTTGAAGTCATCGTCGCGGGTGGGCTTCCACGCCAGCAGCTCCTCCAGGCTGGACAGGTAGAAGCTGACCGGCTCGGTCGTGTCCGTGTCGAAGTGCCGGGCTAGCGTGGGAGAGGCCGGTTGGAGCGCGGGCGGCGGGGCTGGCAGGCGCGGGCGCGGGCCCGAGCAGCTCAGCACCTTACCTGGCAGGGGCTCGGGCGTGTAGCTGACCCTGCGGTGCAGGACGGTGGCTCCTTGGCCCTCGGCAGCAGACGGGGAGCTGGGCGGAGAGTCGCCAGGGCCGTGAGGGCGCGGGGCAAGGACCCACGTGCCACTCCCGGCACAGGAGCCCGGGTCTGGACCTCACCTGGACAAGCCCCCCTCCCCCGCTGCGGGGGCGCCGGGCCCTTTAAGGGCTGCAGCTCTGGCGCAGAGCATGCTGGGACTTGTAGTTGGCAGGGCAAAGCAGGGCGTGCCGGATACAAGGAGCCTTCCCGCCTGAGGCGGGGAAAAACGATTCAGGGTGCAAGGTGGAGGTGCAAGTGGACGTGCAAGTGCACGGGCAGCAGGGGAAACTGAGGCAGGGCTGCAGCGCCCCGCCCGCCACGTGGCCCCGCAGCCGGTTCAGCCGCGTCGGGGTGGGTCCGGCCGGGAGCGGGGTT